TCAAAACATATTTTACAAATATGACACAACGATAAACAGCAGAAACAACATGATATCCCATTAGATAATTACATAGTTTTATAGTCAGAGTATTATTGGCAGCTTTTAACAATTGATCTAGTTTATAAATATTCTTCCAAAAAAAACAGTTGTATTTTGGTAAATAATGTGACCTTACAGGTCTGTTGACAGGACAAACTACAAAAAAATGATATTCGTCTTCAACAACTTTCATATTACAACAAAGACATAATCATATTAATCTTGGAGTATTGGTATATCTACCAACTTCGATATTTGATTGAAGTGTCCCACTACGTAGATTTGTAAGTAGTCGAACATCACAAAAGAAATTAGTATAATTTTCAAGACAAAATTCAGTCTTAATTCTTCTATACATACAACGTTTTTCATACTCATATAAAGTTGCTGACCACTCTTGTAAAAATTGATCAGAAATACGTTTTTTAACAATATCAAAAACTACATTAGCTACATCTTTTGAAATCCATTAATGTTCAAGCCAACAAATAGCGCAATCCTCCATCTTGACATGCATCGGCGAAAAGCACACAATTAAATCGAAAAAAGTGAAAACGTGTCTGTGGCAAAAATGGACCGAACATCCAAATTTTATATTCTAAGAGATAAGGAAAGGATTGCTTTGGATAACTTGGTGAACAGAGTCTTCTAATAGTAAGAACTTCTATGATATTATTGAGGGAAGCCAAAATTTACCATACAAGGAAAACTGTGACATATTATAGGAAGGCTTTTAATTAATTTAAAAAATCAAACGATTCCTCGCAGTATAATCAAGTAATATATAAGCAAACAAAGTCGTTGTGTCCAAAGAATTCCATTTAATATTTTTTTCTAATTATTTTCTTTTTTATCGTATTTTGTTTTTTCTTCCACATTGAGTGTAATTGGCTCTTTTTACCTAACTCTTTAATGTAGATCAACTTAAATTTGCATGCTTTGTACATGTTGTATACTTATTGTAATTATTATATTATTTAGAGGAAAGTATATTATAAGATGAGAAAACGTCTGTCTGATCCTGTTGGTCTCTTTCAGCAAATAAATAATAAGAGAAATAACTAGTCACCCCAACAAGTATTCCCTGATACATGTATCTAGTTCATAATGATAAAACAAGTATGTCATTCATGATTAAAAACTTTAAAAGAATTTAAAGGCAAATTAGAATTAGGATTTATCTTCCAAATTCATTATCTTAGTTTTTATTAAGCAGCTATTTCGTTTTTGGATTTGTTTATATAATATGTTTATAAATAAAAGGAGATGATGGACTCCGTTGATAAGACGTGGGTAGGAAAAGTAAGAATACCCTAAGACCGGGAATGAATTCACAAGATCCGGATATTCAACAGTTCCTTTGCTGGTGATAAGGCATCATTCAATTGCATATTTATGCATGTGTTTTGTAATCCTGCGCATTACCAAATTCACATACCATACATGTTGTGAGGAAATTATAAAAAAAACTACTAGTATTGAAGATCTCCCATCAACAACTATTCTTTGAATAACAAAAACATAAAAGACGACAAATATTGTAGAGTTTCCTGACTACTTTAGGCAGCTAAATATATATGTTGCATGGATAAACTAGTTTTTTGTGATATTTGTTTATCTCAACCCCATCAGTGGCCTACCCAGTGTAAAAAATAACACATAATAAAAACGAGTGTAGCAAAAAAAAACTCTCAACTTGATATAGTATATAAAAAGGATAACACAAACACACGAACAAGTATAAAACATTTAGGGATTGAATGGTTTTTTTATAGTTGTATTGGGTTATAAAAGCGTTGACAGAATCACGTTTCTGTTCGTTATATAAAATGTGCTTCGATCAACTCTTTTACATCTCAATGAAATTATATAAAAAAGAAAAAAACAAGATGCAATTCCTAATTAAATTCTTGAAGGTTGAATCGCACTTCGACAATATATCTCTATATTTTTTTTATCATTTGGTAACGGTTTTGACAAATTTATAATATTTCCATCCACTTGTTGTAGGAACAACATAGACGGTACCACCTTTTTTGCACCAGATGCGCATTTCGACAATCAATGTCTCTTCAGTGATGCTCGAGGCCAAAATATTTGAAAATCCAAAGCTAATTAAAAATTTGAATAGCTATAAACAGTAGCTTATTTTTAGAAATAAGAACAAAACATTCGTTTAAATTTAATACTTCCTGAAAACACGAACCAAGTGAGAAAAGCAGACTACATATGAAAGAGCTATGGAACATCAACATCGAGAACAAAAAATCTTAACACAGAGGAAGGAATAAATAGTCATGTTTATAATAAATGTTAGTATTGTCATTAGCATGAAAAATTCTTATATCGAGGTTCAAAAGACTAATTGTTGATTAAGTACATTGTAATACTCTTTTTTTTTCTCAAAAAGATCATCGGAAAGTATCAAGACCTAATAGATAAGTATTCATTGTATACTGCAAAAATAATACAAGATGGTCTTCAGTAATAGATTCTATGTGCTGAAGTAATGTATCTTTTTATTTACTTTACAGTTTTTCTTTATTTGTCTTCGTGTCATTATATTTCTTCGCTATCGTGTTTTTGACCTTGGAAGTTCCTGGTATATGTGTGCGGTTCGGAAGCAAGGGTTTCTACGTTGTTATTCCATTTTGTTTACCCTCGTATTTATATTTTACATAATTGTGCTTTATCACAAAAGTGTATTTTATATATAGTATGCACTATCAACTAAAAATATTTTTTGTTGACGTCATTGTCAAATTTACTATCAACAATTATTATGTAGGCTTCTTTGTAAAAATCTATTTGTATATATGTATGAATTTTTTTGTCAGTAGTGTTACATGTCTGTAATGTATGTTTACAAAGTTTTGGCTGCTGGATCCGTATTGTTTTCACATTAACCTATTATGGCCGTTTTGTCTTGCTAACCGAATTTCTAAATATAACGGAACTATAAACAACTGTCATACATGTGGAACGCTTACCTAACTATAAAACCAGGTTTAATCCACAATTTTTGTCGGGAAACGACTGTGCCAAGTCAGGAATATGACGGTTGTTTATCATTCAATTCGTTGGTTGATAACGTTTGATTTTTGTCAGATTTTATGGAAATCCCCTTTTTGAATTCACCGTGGAGTTCGGAACTTTTGTTTTGCTTTTATTAGGTAACACTGAGGTTGTTAGTTCGAGACCCGCACGTGTAATGTGCGATCGACTTCCTGTTTTGATAGGGTAATTTCATAGTATATTCCGATTAAATCAAATGAAAAAGATCCAGGGGTTGCCTATAAAAGAGGACAATTATTTTCTTTACCTATTTTGTAATCAGATATACAAATATGCGGAAAACTGTATGCTTTAAAACATGGCAGCCTCTGTAAACTTGGTAAAGCGCAAGACCAAGGAGAGGTGAAAGTAACAAAAGGGATTATGAAACTTATAAGTCGAGAACAAACTGAGCTGGCATGTCAGTTAACTGCTAGTAGTCTGTTGTTATTTATGTATTATTGTCATTTTGTTTATTTTCTTTGGTTACATCTTCTGACATCAGACTCGGACTTCTCTTGAACTGAATTTTAATGTGCGTATTGTTATGCGTTTACTTTTCTACATTGGCTAGAGGTATAGGGGGAGGGTTGAGATCTCATAAACATGTTTAACCCCGCCGCATTTTTGCGCCTGTCCCAAGTCAGGAGCCTCTAGCCTTTGTTAGTCTTGTATTATTTTTAATTTTAGTTTCTTGTGTACAATTTGGAGTTTAGTATGGCGTTCATTATCACTAGTATATATATTTGTTTAGGGGCCAGCTGAAGGACGCCTCCGGGTGCGGGAATTTCTCGCTGCATTGAAGACCTGTTGGTGACCTTCTGCTGTTGTCTGTTCTATGGTCGGGTTGTTGTCTCTTTGACACATTCCCCATTTCCATTCTCAATTTTATTGACATTGCCATGGCGAGAAAAAAAAAGAAATACTACGACAAGACAAACAAAACTACTCAAAACTCAACATGGAACTTAAGATTGCGCAACACGAACCCTGTACCACGTCAGGAGTATACGATTGTTTTGCACTCCTTCCATTGGTTGATAACGTTTGATTTTGTAAGATTTTATGGAGTACCCTTTTTTGAATTTACCGTTCAGTTAGGTATTTTTGTTATACTTTTATTATGTAACACTGAAGTTGTTAGTTGGAAACTCGCACGTGTAAGGTACGTTCAACTACAATCTCAATTTACAAGGATAGTTTTCGTTGCCTGCAATTGTCCATAATATCTATTAATATATCAATTTGGAAAACATGCAAATTTTAAAAAAACGTCACTGGTAGTCAATGTTTATGCAAAGAGATATTTCAAACACATTTTTACAAGATAGATATGCATTGTTTGGTTTTTCTCGAAAGTCTTTTTGTCAACTGCCAACAGGTGAAATTGGTCAGTTCGTGTTAGTCTCCGAATATTAAGTCCATTGTTTCAAGATAAAAAAATGACAAATCAATCAACAGTAGTATACCGCTGTTCAATAGTCATAAATCGATTAAGCGAAAACAAATCCGGGTCACAAACCAAAACCGACATAAACACATCAACTATCAGAGGAAAACAACGGAACAACAGAAATACTGAACTGCTACAAAAACAAACACCAACATACATAGAAACTATATTTGATAACAACTGCGACTTGACAAGATACACAAGCTTTTCTAATAATGTGCAAATATATTAAATCATATTTGAAGTTTTTCCTAGAAATGAGGTCATGGTGTGTCTTTATAGGACGTACTCCTTTGTTAGGATTAGCTTATACCAATGTGTATCGGTTCCAAAACAGTAGAATCAAACGTAAACCTTCTATTCTATAAGTCCCATTGAGATCGTCATGTTTGACTGTAGAGATAAATGCGTTTGATTTTTAGTACTTATTATATGGTATGAAAGGAGAGAATTGAAAAAAGGGTTTTATTATAGAAAATAAATATATGAACAGAACTGTCCTGTATTTACACGTTATCATCAATGTCGTCTTTTACGAAAACATTGTTCCACAAAATAAGTCACTCTGATCTACAAAGCACTGAGTTCATCAGCGAAATCTTCCAAATGATCAAAATTATCTGCCAGGTCTCTGATGACTTTTAAATGCAATGATAATAATTTATTCCATTGTTTTTCAGTTAGTGTGACCCCCTTATCTGTGAGTAATGGTATCTCTCCGGGTTGTTCTGCTGGTGTGCTGTAATCACGGATGTCTACTACCACTTGTTGACTCCAGGAAATGAATTCGGATTTAACAATGACCTTTTTGTTTTTGGAAATATCGAAATCTGTTTTAGCAGCAACTGTAAAATATATAAGTACAGCGTATTTTATCTAATATTCAACATTGGTTATTTCAGAATATTTTCCGGTTACCATATTTAGATTAAATGAAATACGGTAACAGTGTTACCTGTGAAAAAAAGACAAAGTATTATTTTCGTTATCTGTTTTGTATCAGAAACTAGTGTACAAATTTGCGGGAAATCGCATGCTTACAAGCTGGCTACCTATGTATATATAAATGGTAACGCGCAATTACAAATGTAGTAATAAAAGTTGACGATTTTGAATTTACTTGTGCATTGTTTTAAAATTAGTTTTTCTTGATCATTGTTTTTATCATTTTCATAATGTAGTTTGTCCTGTATATTATCAGAATAAGGTTTCTATGTTAAATACTAAGAATATTGACTGGATAGAAATATCATCACATGGCCTTATTTCGTCCGACAAAACTATGCCGAAGGTCGTCTATGCAAAAAATGCATAAATGCACATCCTTATCTTGTCGGAATAAGAATAATATTGAATATGATGTCCCGTTTGGGACAGTCAAGCTCTCTGCACTAGCAAACCACTTTTTCATGCAGAGTCCAACAATTTCGGTCTCTTTTCCATATACATTTTAGCAACATGTATGCCAAATTTCGCGCTTTTATTCTCCACTAAACGACTTTTTGTTTTTTTAAGAAATGTTAAGTTTATTCTCAACCATGAATATGCATAAATATATGAATATGATCTTAAGATGTGATATCTATAGCATCTATCTTGGTCATTTGATCATCAATACCCTCAGTTATTTTTCTAAAATAACCTAAAATGAGCACCTTGTTTGTCTTTCTTCATCTGTTTCAAACCTTTTCCTTCTGTGTCTTCTTTAATTTGTTTGATTGCGTTTGAAATAGAAACTCTCTTACTGATTAGTGTACGGTATTGACCAACGGTAAGGTATATTCCCTTCATCCCAGGTTTAAGGATTCTACTCGGTGCTTTTGCATAGAAATGTATTATACCAACTAGGACACTGTCTTTCTGTTTACTAATATAAATGTGTAAAAAGTCCTCTATTTCATACGTGTGCTCTCCACCTGTATATATCGTTGGCTCAAATGGACTGTTTGTCCTATTTGTAATAGGTGGCTCCAGATGTGATTCTTCGTAGTGGTCTGGTATTTGGTAAGCGTGTTTTTCGGCTGCTTATTCCTTTTCAGATTGTGTCTTAGTTTTCGGTTTCTTCGTGTGTGGCTTCCATTCTGATTCATCGTCATCTACAGTTCGTTTTCCCTTCTTTTTTTCCGGTTTCTCCATTTTCAATGCAAACGCGAGCTTTTCGCGTGCTTTTTTTATCCTTTCTTGGTCGGTATCTTTTAAATCCTTGAAGCCAACGAAGGCTGACGATGTTTCCGTGTTATCTTTTAATTGTTTACGAAACAAACATGAAATGAAAATCAGCAGTATATTCAATTTTAATAGCGTTCTTTGGAATAGTTTGTGAGCATGCCTTACAACTTCCTATACTTGACTTAGAGTGTTCACAACAATAATAAATGTTTCACTTGATTGCTGACAGGTCACATGAACCAGTTTTAATTGTAAATAAAACATGTATTATCCTCCAAAATGATAAAATGCATATGCATATCAACCCGTCGAGTTGTACTGTATGTCTGATATATATATATATATTATATCACCAGATAAATGGTTTGAAATGCACATCTAGTGGTTGATACCAGTGTTTTACTTCCGCGAGTCTACTTCCGCGTTAAGAAATACCCGACTAAAAATAATATCCATATCTATCGTAAGTCAGTTATCTATTTCACATGCGGCGAAGGAGAGGGTCTAGATTGGTACTTCTTTTCTGGTTCTTTTTAGGCAATTTTTCTCTTTTATTTGTTCTTTTTGTCCATCATTCTCTATTCTTCATATTATCAACATCCCCTTATTCTCTATTCTATTTTTGTTGCTGCCTATTTTGTTCTATTCTTTATATCATTTGTACCTTAACAATGTTTATTCTGCAGTTTGTGCCCATTCTCTATTCTGTAAACCCAAACTTTACCCTCGTAGGAGAAGACTGATAAATGGGGGTAGGGGGCACACTTTTGAAAAAATTAGTAAATGTACCTTCTTGTCAAACATTTCAAGAAAGCAATACATTAATTTTACTTTGTGCTATGTACATGTATCGATAAGTTAAGCAGTATTCAACTGACTTTTATATTTTTCCCTAACCAAGATGTTTTACCCCGCCTCGTTGTGCATGTTCCTGTTCCAAATCAGGAGCCCGTTATGTAATAGTGGTTGTTGTTTGTTGCTTTATATCATATTTGTTTTTCTTTTATAATTATTTGATTTGTACATAAACCAGACAGTTACTTTTCTCGTTTGAATTGTTCTTGTTTGTTTATTCTATTCATTGAAGACCAAAAAGATTTACTGCCGGAGCAGAGTGTGTCACATGCAGACTATAAAAAGAACAGAACTGTTCAAGTTTTAACTAGTTGCAGCCCTCAAGCATCAATTGTGTTATTGTCTATTGTATTGGTGTGGATGACATGTCAGGCATCCATATTTAATAGTACCGCATATCACCTTCCACTTTTTACATATAACTCAGTGGTTATAGGAATCTAAGATGTAACCATGTATCATATTGTATGAAAGGAGAGAACTAAACAAAAGGTTTTATTTATTATAGAAAATAAAATAAATGAACAAAACTGTCCTGTATTTAGACGTTATCACTGATCAAAATCGTCTTTTAAGAAAACAATGTTCTACAAAACGAGTCACTCTGATATACTAAGCACTTAGTTCATCAGCGAAATCTTCCGAATAACCAAAGTTATCTGCCAAGTCTCTGATGACGGTTAAATGCAATGATAATAATTTATTCCATTGTTCTTCAGTGAGGGTTATCCCCTTATCTGTGGGTAATGGTATCTCTCCAGATTGTTCTACTGTGCTGTACTCGCGGATGTCTACTACCACTTGTTGACTCCCGGAAATGAATTCGGATTTTACAATGATTCTTCTGTTTTCGGAAATGTCGAAATCTGTTTTAGCAACTACTGTAAAATATATACATACAGCGTATTTAAGTTAGAATCCAACATTACAGATTTGTTTGGCCAGCGTCAACAATAATATATTTCTTACTTATAAATATTTCAATAGAATAATATCAGAAAAATTACCGATTAAATTAAATGAAATACTATTCATGTGTTGCCATAAGAGAGGACAAAGTCCGTATTATTTTCATTACCTATTTTGTAATCAGATATACAAATATGCGGGGAATCGTATGCTTTACAACATGACAATCTCCGTAAACATGGTAAATTTCAAGTCCAAAGAGAGGCGAAAGATACCAAAGGGATATTCAAACTCATAAGTCAAAAACAAACTGACAATACCATGGCAAATAAAACCGAAAAACGACGAAAAGAAAAACAACAGTACACAAAACACAACATCGAATACTAAAGATTGCGCAAAACATACCCCACCATAAACCGGGGGTGGTCTCAATTGCTCCGGAAGGGTAAGCAGCTCCTGCTCCACATGTGCATGGCACCCGTTGTGTTGCTCATGTTAGTACAAACGCGGTGAGGAGTCTAATTCGGTATTTCACATTCGAGGACACTTGGAACATATCCGTCGTCATCTCTGAAACAGATATTTCATGACAGTCAACCAACTCGTGATGGTGTCCGTAAAATTTTCGAAAGGATGATGTCAACGTCACCACTTGAGACTCACCGTTCAATAGCATCCTTGTAAACAGCAACCCTCTATCAAGGAAATAATGATAGGAAATAAAAGCTCTGGAATATCGTATCAACTTGGAGATATGTACTCCATATGCAGGCGCTGCTGGGACGTTGCTACAGAGAAATGGAAATTTCACAATTGGGAAGCTGACATCTTCTCTTTTGTCATATTTTTTTTGTTCTCTACCTACCCTCATTGTCAATTTCTAGATGTAAGTCAAGATATGAGGCAGACTTAACTGTATCTGTTGTATCCTTTATTTCACCTTTTACCCCATTTTTTTATGCCTTTTTAATTTATGTAATGTTTAGTTTATTTTCATCCTTGAATATGTATCGAACGCAAAGCAAACAATACTCAATCAACGTTCTACATGATCATTGTAATACCTAGAAATCCTCTTTACCACGGGTGTCATTCGGTATATCGATAAAAAATGATCGTGAAAGAATTACTAACGGCGGTCAAGAACTGCGATCGGATCGTGAATGCAATTAAGTGTAATTCTACTTCAAAATCTGTGAAAAATCTGCTGTATTTTCAAAAGTAATTTTGTCAAAATGATTCAACTTCCTTAATAATAATATGCACTAAGTTAAAGAAAAAATGTAGTACTTTTTAAGAAAACACGATTAAGAAAAAATCACGTTTTGTATCTAGAATGGTCACATTCCAATATATCATGATATGTTTTAAACTTAATCTTTACTGAGTCAGATGGTCAAGCTAGATAAAAGTATGTTATTACTTGAAAAATTTCATATTGTTTTTGAATAAAGTATAATTTTGTTGATTTATAATCTATTTCATAAATAATACAAAATGGTCTTGATTTATAGATTCTAGTTGCTAACTCTGAGTAGCATTTTATCTACTTGACAGTTTTAACTTTATTTGTATGTGTACTATTATGTTCCATTTTATCGTAAGGCTCTTGACGTTGTTCGGTATATGGGCATTTAGGTTTCAGGTTTTTGGCTTTTGGCGTTCCTTACGCGGTTGAGTCTAGAGATGCGATTCGGAAACATGATGTTTTATAGGTTTGTTTTCATTTTGTATACCCTTGTTTTTATATTTTTCCTGTTTTTGTATTTTATCGGATAAGTGTACATGTCATTATGTAAGGAGCTCCTTAAGGAGCCCTATAAGTCCTATGTAATATAAATATTTTCGTTAGTCGGAGATTTAGTCTGGTGCGCACGACCTTGAAACTCGTGCGCACGACATTTAAAAACTGGTTCGCGCAACTTTCAAAAACTGGTGCACACGACTTTCAAACGAGTGCACACGACTTTCAAACTGGTGCAGACGACTTTCAATTAACTGGTGCTCACGACTTTTAAATTGGTGTTTTAAAGTCGTGTGCACCAGTTCTTGGAAGTCATGCGCACCATTTTGAAAGTATTGCGCACCAGTTTGAAAGTCGTGCGTACCATTTTGAAAGTATTGCGCGTCAATTTGAAAGTCATGCGCACAAACTTGAAAGTCGCACGCGAGAGTTTCAAAGTCGTTTGCACGATTTTTAAACTGGTGCGCACCAGATTAAATCTACGGCAAATGAAAATATTTATATTTACATGACACTTTAATAAGCGGCTCCGTACTCATGCTTTACTATACTGACTGTATTATCAATATACTGACTGTATTATCAACTACAAAAACCTTTTTTTTCTGGCGTCTTTGTTTGATTGATCTGTGTTTGTGTGCATCAACGTTAAATTCAGTTGTATTGTATGTCTGGGATGTATGTTTACACAGTTCTGGCTCGGCTGGATCCCAGATATGGCCACGTTAACTTATTCTGTTTGTTTGGGTTGCTCACCCAATTTGGCAATATTACGGAACATTAAACAACTGTCATACAAGTGTGCGTATTAGGCAGCTAGAAAATAAAATCTAACCCACCATTTTCTTAGGAAAATGCCTGTGCCAAGTCAGGAATATGACAGTTGTTTTCCTTCGGGTTTTTTTAAACAATGCCTTTTTTTTACAATGTTAACAAAATTCAACAAGGATCTTTGTTTTATAGATATGACTGTGCATACAAATTAATGAAAATCAGATGAGACAGTCTTAACTTTTCAAACGACATAAAACTTATGCAGGACGGACAGATGGACTTACATTGATACAAGAAAACGATGGTGTTTGTATAAATAATCAGATCCAATGGCACTGAACAAGAAAACGGTGGAGTTTGTATAAATAATCAGATCCAATGGCACTGAACCATCATAGCCCTATTCACAAACAAAAGTGAAGTGGAATAAGTCTTGCAAGTCCAATCTTTTGTTATACCAATAACAAATATAAATTATCATTTGTTTAAAGAACGATCTTATCGTTTTCGTGGATTTTTTGCAATAACGAATAAACGGCAACAGATCTTTCACGTTCATCAAAATGCGGTATCCGATCTTTCACGATCCGAAATACCAAATCTTTACAAACATTACCATTTTGAAAAGTTTCTGATTAAACTAAATCAAAATAACTTTTTAAGAACTATTTTATACAGTTATATTTAACGATATTTTTAAGAGAAAAGTAGTTTATGCATTAAAAATTTGAAGAAAAAAAATCATGTTTGTTTACATTTTTAGTTCTTTGAAATTTCGATGAGCAATCTGCCTTTTGCAGTTTTAGTAAAAAACGATGTACTTTTAAGCTTTGATTTTTCTCGGATACTGAGCATAATGTTGAACCATTTTGACAGACCGTTTTATTTTTCAAATATTTGTCATTATAATTAATTAAATTAGATTATTTACTGACATTGCATGTGCCTTCTCGACAAGATTTCCTTCACGATCCTATACCAGATCTTTCACGATCCAATCACAATACTTGACCACCTTTACTTATTATTTCACGATCATTTTTCTCGATATACCGAATGACAGCCGTGTTTATATGTGATATCTACAACAGCTACCTAGACCATCTGATTATCAATGTCCTTTTAAAAGTCATATTTAAAAATAACTTAATATGAGCACCTTGTTTTCCTTTCTTTGTCTGTTTTGTTTTCTTCTTTTTGATTGCATCTTTTCCTTCTTTGTCTTCTTTGATTTGTTCGATTGCTTTTGAAATAGAAAGTTTCTCATCGATTAGTGTACGGTATTGATCGACTGTGAGTGATATTCCCTTTTTCCCGGGTCTAAGTTTCCCACCTGTTGCGGGTCTGTAGTATTCTCTTATACCAACAAGGACAATGTCTTTCCATCTACTGATATTAATGTATAAAAAATCCTGTATTTGATAAGTGTGTTTTCCAACTGTTAATTCTTTTTCCGAGTGTGTCGCAGTTTTCGACTTCTTCGTATGTGGCTTCCATTCTGATTCATCATCGTCTGCAGTTCGTTTTCCTTTCTTTGTTTCCGGATTTCCCGTTTTCAATGCCAACTTGAGCTTTTGGCGTGCTTTTCTTATCCTTTCTTGGTCGGTATCTGTCAAATCCTTGAAGCCAACAAAGACTGACGATGTTTCAGTGTCATCTTTTAGTTGTTTACGAAAAAAACATTTCTTGAAGAAGCAACTAAAATGAAACCAGATCGTTCCACAATGATCGAAATCAGGGGTAAATCCGATTTTAACAGCATTCTTTGGAATAGCTTTTGGGCATGCCTTACAACTCCCTATACTTGACCTAGCATATTCACAACAAATATAAACGTTGTCGTCCATTTTCAATCGATTGCTGACAGGTCACATGAATCAGTTTTAAGTGTAAATAAATCATGTATTATCATTCAAATGATAAATTTCTTATGTATATTTACCCTAGTTATATTTATTTCTGAAATATTTATTTTATATCACCAGATAAATGCTTAAAAAGGGGTCCTTCATTTCTGTATTTTTTAGGCAATTTTTCTCTCGTCTTTATACTTTTTGTCCACTGTTCTCTATTCTATATATTTCAGCACCCCATTGTTTAATTGAAGTCTGGAGCTGGCATGTCAGTTAACTGCTAGTAGTCTGTTGTTATTTATGTATTATTGTCATTTTGTTTATTTTCTTTGGTTACATCTTCTGACATCAGACTCGGACTTCTCTTGAACTGAATTTTAATGTGCGTATTGTTATGCGTTTACTTTTCTACATTGGCTAGAGGTATAGGGGGAGGGTTGAGATCTCATAAACATGTTTAACCCCGCCGCATTTTTGCGCCTGTCCCAAGTCAGGAGCCTCTAGCCTTTGTTAGTCTTGTATTATTTTTAATTTTAGTTTCTTGTGTACAATTTGGAGTTTAGTATGGCGTTCATTATCACTGAACTAGTATATATATTTGTTTAGGGGCCAGCTGAAGGACGCCTCCGGGTGCGGGAATTTCTCGCTGCATTGAAGACCTGTTGGTGGCCTTCTGCTGTTGTCTGTTCTGTGGTCGGGTTGTTGTCTCTTTGACACATTCCCCATTTCCATTCTCAATTTTATATGTAGAGGTGGGATACTAGTGTTTAACTTCCGCGTTAAGAAATACCCCCGGCTTAAAAATGCTATCCATGCAACCGCCAGTAATATATTTAACAATTATCAAGTACGCAAGGCTGAGCGTTTTGTTCTTCGTTTTCAGCTAGATGTTGTCAGTACCATGAATACATCAGATATCTACTTTCTATGCTTTTTTTTAGTTATATATCATACCTATGGCGTAGGAGAGGGTCTGGATAGGGGGTCCTTCATTTCTGTATTTTTTAGGCAATTTTTCTCTCGTCTTTATACTTTTTGTCCACTGTTCTCTATTCTATATATTTCAGCACCCCATTATTCTCTATTCTTTATATTTTTGGTCCTTTATTCTGCACTTTGTGCCCATTATTCTCAATTTTGTATACCCCATCCACACCCTCGTAAGAGTAGACTGTTAAGTGGGGATGGGGCACACTTTTGAAAAAGTTAGAATTTTCACTTTCATAACTTTATTTTTCTGCCAAAAAGGGGGAGGGCAAAAGCATAGTTTTGAAAGTCGGGGTAGGGGATTGCTCCCTTGTCCCGCCCGACTACTACGCCCCTTTGTATATATAATCCTCATCCTTATAGTAACCTATTAAAGGTCTCGAGGGACAAACTGGAATTAATTTAAATGAGAAAACCAGTTAAACTACAGCGATGAACGAAAATCAAATATGGCAGACATTCACCAACGACAATTACTGGAATATACTTAGGTTCCTGGCTTTGGACAGGCAAAAATGAATTTAGCGGGGTTTAACATGTTTTCATCGCTCAACCCTTCACTATTATGATCATTCGCGCCTATCTTTTCACTAATCATCGTATATTAAAAACTAAGCATACTCCAAGTGGATATACATGTTTTAACTTAAGAGCATATATTTGTTCTCTATTATCATTATTGTTCCAGTCGGTATACGCATTTTGTAAGCTAGTGTCTAATAATGAGAGTGTGAATGGAGTTTATAGAATAGATAAGAATGGCAAAAAAATATTGAATAGAGACAAATGAGCGAAACCAATAAAGAATAGAGAATACTAGGGTGCAAAAATATAAAGAATAACTGGAGAATAAAAGAATTAGGTAATACAATCACTGATTACAGACATGGACGATGTACATAACAAAGAAATCATCTATTACATCATGAACACAAAAAGTTGATAGTTAAATCATTTTCATGAGAATGTTACAAAGTTTTGTTCAACATTTCACATTTAGAAATGAACAGATAAAAAGGGAATATGGAAGCACTATATGTTTACAAAACGTTTTTGATTCGACAGGAAACAAATGAGCCGTATGAAAAATTAAAAAGAAAACAAAAATTATCTGCTGATCCTTTGTAATGAGATGATTTTCTCATTATTATGGGATAAAGTCATGATATTGATATATCATTTCAGAAAATAAGATTTTGAATTTTTGAATATAAGTTATTTTGTTCGTATATAACTTATAAAAAGAAGAAGATGTGTTATAATTGCCAATGAGACAACTTTCCACCAGAGACCAAATGATATAGAAGTTAACAACTATAGGTCACCGTACGGCCTTCAACAATGAGCCAAACTCATACTGCATAGTCAGCTATAAAATGCCCCTAAATGACAAATGTAAAACAATTCAAACGAGAAAACTAACGGCCTTATGTGTGTAAAAAACAATGAACGAAATACAAATATGATATACAGCAACAAACGACAACCACTGAATTACAGGCTCCTGACTTGGGACAGGCACATTCAGAATATGGCGGGGTTAAACATGTTAGCGGCCACCCAACCCTCCCCCTAACCTGGGACAGTGGTGTAGCAATACAACATATGAACAAACAATAAAAATCAGTTGAAAAGGGCTTAACTCATCAGATCGACACAAAGCAGAAAAACAAGTAACAAAAACACAGACCGGACGTGCCAGGGTATTTATACATCCCTAAGACAAATAAAATAATCTGATAGTACCTGCAGTTACTGACAGCTAGATCAAAGCCAATTACATATGATAAAAAGGCATGTATCTAAGACTAAAGTATCAATCAGTACACATCCAACATCCAACGGATTTAGTGGAAAGACGTCATTAATAACAGTCAGAGAGAAACGTGACCTTTTGCAATGCCAGAATACAGGTATCTACAGATTGTAGAACCGTGAATGTGCATATGTATATGTATATAACAATAATATTAGTTTGGTTTTAATTTACCTATACAAAAATCAATATTTATACTAATAAAAACAATATTTAAAGATCTAATTACAGAGTTGAATTGGTAACCTTTCAGAATAAGTTTATTTAAAGGACCGATTAGTTTACCCGGATCGTATATAAATTTCCGGGCTCGGAAAATAACTTCTCCGTAAAAAAACTCGTTTGAAATAAGTTTTCTTCAGGTACAGCTAATCTTATAAACCAAATCTTTGTATCTATGGAAGAATCTAGTGAGGTTATAAGTACATTTTATTTGTAATAGCGAAATCGAAACCCCTGACTTAATAATTTACCAGTAATCCAAAACGTCACCACAGACACGGGCATAGCGAACGAGTTGTTATATATAAACACCGTAAGATGGTGCCAAAGGAAAGTATCACCATCCAAAAATTTCAAACGAACATTTAATTGAATATAAAACCTTTGTTTGATAAGATTGTGTGGAAGTGTAGTGTAAAGAGTTGAAAAGTCAAAATCGTCAGCAGAATCAAAAGGACCATCAAAAGCACGTAATTTATCTAAAACATCCAAAGATTTTTTTTTCACTCCAAAAATAGTTAATTCCACTATTTTCATATGTTTAATTACAATAGTTAATGATAAGTTCTTTGATAGTAGTTGAGGAACTAGTTTAAGTTAAAAGCACTGAAACATTGGTTGTAGAACACTTACTAGAGGCCGAGATGAAACGACATTTTACGGGGGTTGTTACTGTTATTACTGGGGATATAAACATATAAATCAACATGAACATCTCCGAAAGGTAATATCTCATGGTCCTAAGTTCAGAGAACCCCAACACATCAATTGGAACCATAACTTCAAAATAATTATGGATTCCATTGAGGACTACGCCAGAGCATGGGCTAAACGAGAAGAAATTGAACTTGACACTTTGTCAGAATGGGTCAATACAATCAGGTCTCTGATAAAACATTGAATTTATAAGTTGAAAAACTGTGTGAATGATCGACCAAAGTCCGTTTTCAGAGACAAAGAAGCTGTGAAATGTCTGTCATCTCTTCACGATAAATATGTTGCTGTTCCTGACGACAAAGCTTCAAATAATATTGTCTTTGTATGTAAATCGTACTACTACGAGTGTCTTGTAAAAGAATTAGGAATAAATGAGCACTCAGGTAATCCCACATACAAGGACATATCATTTGACAAGGATGAGATTTTGGCGAATGATAAGTCCTTCGTGGTTTCAATGAACATTACCTTGAACAGCAAATCTGAGGACTTACCTTGTTTGTATTGGATACCTAAGCTTCACAAAATTCCATACAAACAACGGTATATTGCCGGCTCATCTGCATGTTCTACAAAGGAATTGTCCATTAAATTGACAAAAATTTTGTCCGCAGTGAAAAGGGTCATCAGAAATACCGTGAATCTGTTTACTTGCGTAGTGGTATTAACCATATGTGGATTCTAAAAAACTCTAAAGAACTTCTGGATAATTTCAAATCTCGATCTTTCTCTGAAATTGATTCTATCAAAACTTTTGATTTTTCAACCCTGTATACCACCATTCCCCATGTGAAATTGAAAAATCGTCTAAAAGAAATAATCCAAAATGCTTTTCAATATAAAAATGGTAGCATACGCTATAAATTTATTACCTTGAGATACCATACGGCATATTTTGTTAATAGTGAACAAAAAGGTAAAACATGCTACACAGAGGAACAAGTGATCAGTATGCTGGAGTTTCTTATTGACAACATAACATATTTGTTGAATTTGGAGGTAGACTTTTTCAACAACTTGTCGGCATTCCTATGGAAACGAACTGTGCGCCTCTCCTTGTCGACCTCTTCTTATTTTCATATGAGTCGGAGTTCCTTCAAAAACAAGAAGATCAAAGAAGCCAGATCATTTAATTTCACATTCAGATATATTGATGATGTTCTTTCCATTACATGTAACAATCCAAACTTTTCTGATTGGGTTCCATTAATATATCCCCCAGAACTAGAAATTAAAGAAACCAACAGATACGGCTTCCTCCGCCTCATTTTTAGACTTATACCTCGAATTTGACATAAGCGGTCA